GCGAGGACGATGCCCAGATCATCTGCGCAGGTACCGAGTTGGCTCCAGGGAGGGCGCTTAAAATCTGGACACGGTGTCTAATGGGCGCATCAAAAGCCAGGGACCAAATCGATCCCGAGAGGGTGCAGCCCTGGAGAACACCTGAGCCGATTTCGAACACGCATTGGAGACGGCCACCCACGCGGGCCCAGGCTCCTGGGGAATGATAAAGCGCATGAATGACAATGAGATAGCCTGGAGGAACCCCGTGGGCTACCAGCGACGCAAGCAAAAAACTCCCATCCTAAGGATGGGGAGGCAGCTTCGATATCAAAGCTAACCCTGGTAAGGGGGGGCATCTGGGGCATCGGGGGGTGGCCTGCTCTGCGGGACTCAGAGTCTAGGGTCAGCGCGTATTGTCCGAAGTTCCGCCCCTTTACAAATCCCTGCTGCGTGCATGTTGTCCGATCCTTGACCATGCCCACGAGGCCCGCATTCACGACGTGAGCGATCAGTGGGGCGTCGCAGTTCCTGAGGAGAGGGGGCGCGTGGCACCTGGAGCTCGAAAGACGGCGCCCTGGTCCTGAGATTCGCCTCCTTGTGGAAGACACGCGAAGACCGAGTCGTCGAACTGGAACAGGGCCCAGCCCATTTCGAACATCTGCATCGCGAGGTCATGAAGTATCTGAGAGGATCCGGGGGGGGGGGGGGCTCATGCAGCGCGTGGAATCTGATCTGGGCCTGGGGCGGTACGTCTGACCTTGCGGGGGGCCCTCTGAACGTCCTCAAAGAGCTGGAACCCGCAGGTCCGCGCAATCGAACTTGGGGAGGCGCTGGGACAGGCGCTGCTGGACCGCCACGGGGTCCACGATCTTGCACGAGAAGATGGGCTGCCAAAACTGATGGAGGCCTCCGAGAATACCCCGCGAGGGAACTTGTGGTGGTAAGGGATGCCGCTGGTGTCCCCCCATTCGGTATCCTGAGCCCTGAGAGTACGAGTCGACGGCGAAACGGATCCCATACCTTTGTCTGGCGTGCGAGGTGCATCGCGGCCTTCCAACTGCCGGCCTGGTCCAACTGCATCTCGGCGCTGGACTGCAGCTGGCACTTCGCGGCGAGGGCGACGAGTCTGTCATAGTCGGCGGTGGCCGCCGTGCCCATCAGCTGGACCTGCTCGCCCCTGTTCGCGAGCTCGGGGCCGTCGTCCGCGAGGCGCAGGTGCGCGCTGCCGATGTCGGTCGCGGCCATGAAGAGCGACGCTGTGTCTGAACCCTTTCTCCAAATCGCCCGTGAAATTGCAGGAAGAGCAGTGGGCCTGCCATGCTTTGCCGAGCGACTGTGGTCTTGAAGGGGGGCGCGCTGCTGAAGGTTGCGAGTGGGTCTCGCCGCTTCTGCGATGATGAGCTTGCGCTGCTTCCAGACCGCGCTAGGCGTGACTGCAGCCTTGGCAATGTTGCCCTTCAGAAGATTGGAGTGGCGCTGGGAGTTGGGGTCGTGGAAGATGATCGGGTCGATGGCTTGCGCTTCTGGCCGTGAGGCTGAGGCGTTGACCAGAAGCAAATGAAGGATGACATGATCGCTGAGGCCTTTGTCGGATAGTGTTTCACCGCCTCTGTGAATCTCCAGGTGCGCATCCACGCTCGTCGGGTCGATGCCCGAGAGGGAAATGAGGGCGCGGTCGATTGCCGTGGCCGCTTGCGCGTTGGCCGAGAAGTGCGCGGGGAGGTCGTGCGCGATCTCTGTGAGCGAAGCAAAGAGTTGGCGCCGCCGCGCCAGCTCTTGTCGATATAGTCCGCCAAGTGCCATGAGCCGCCAGCGCGCAGAAGGATCCTCGAAGTTGAAGGAGGGGGCGGCACTGGCATCGTAGTCGCCCATGGCGATGAAGAGTCTCTGCTGGGGCGCTGCTGCTGCCCAGCTCCGTGGGGCGCGCCGCGCCTCGGCCACTCTGTCCATGTCAACTGCCGCCAAGTCATGATTGCGCGCGTTCACAATGAGCGCCTCGAAGCCCGCGGTGTGATCAACAACGCGCAGGGCGGCCACTCCTCCGCGGATACCGGCCAGAGCGACGTCGATGTAAAGGTCGACGCAAGCGTCGGCACCTCGCAAGGCCACTCCTCCTTTGCCGCGGTTGACGGGGTAGCCGCTGAAATGCGCTTGACGAAAATTCGGAAATGTGCCGATGTACGATTCGAGATCCAATTGAGAGCCGTGCACTTCTTGCAGGGCGACCAGGGCCAGCTTGCGCATGAAAAGAATAACCAGCCTTATATCCCCCCATCTCTTGCAATCGTCCTGACAGAGAAGGCTTCTGGCAGTCCGACAGATGTAGCTTCCTGCGGCCTCTGAGGCAACAGGTCTGGCGACGAGTGCGCGAAGATGTGCTGGGCGAGGAAGAAGAAGATGAGCTGCTGGCGCTGGGGGGGCGAGCGCTGGCCGACGATGAGCTGAATCCCGAGACTGAAGCCGCCTGGGCCTCGTCGGTCTTGAGACGACGATCTTCCGCTGGAAGGTCTTGAGCTGGGTGGGGTGGGTCATGCTGGGGAAGAAGTGCTGCTGCAGGGCTCTCCAGGCCCGTGAAACTGAACTATTATCTGGAGGGTTCCCCAGTCCCATCGGGGGCAACAGGGGCGCCGCGATCCCCGCGCGCCTGTCGTCGCGGCACGGCCCGCGCAGGATGGGGCCTCTGATGCCGCGGAGCTTGCCCGAGTTCACGCGGGGCGCGATTGGGGGGCCGCGGGGCGTCAGCAGCGGCGGGGCAAGGTGGGTCCTGTTCAGGTGCTGGTCGAAGGTGCCGTAGAGGACGCGGTCGCCGCCGGTGCGCCAGGCCCGGGAGGGCGCGCGCGATAAGCATCAGTTGCAGTCGCCCGCCATGGCGACCAGCTTTTGTTAAACCCACTGCGCTGTATCCTGGGCTCTGTAGGGGGCGGCGAATTCTGCCGCGGCGGTGGCCTGGTCGATGGGGGCCTTGGCCAGCGCATCTTGGTTAGGGAGAGGGAGGGGGGGGGGGGAAGAGGGGGGGGGGGGGGGGGGGGGAGAGGAAGATGAGGAGGAGGGGGGCAAGGAGGAGGAGGAGAATGGGGGGGGCCATTTCAGTGGGAGGAACGCGCAGCGGCGCCAGCGCGCGCGCGCCCGCCCCCCTCGCCCCTCCCTCGCTGCCGCGAGACATCTTGCGAAACGACCCCTCACGGAGGCCCCGCTGCCGCGAAGCTGCTGGCCGCGGGCCGTTCGCCGCGCAACGCGTTGCCGGCGAGCCGCCCGCTGCCGTCGAAGCCGCCTCCGCGGGGCCCTCGGCGTCGTTTCGCGCGGCCTTGTCGGGGGAACCGTTGCTCTGCGCCGCCGCGGACGCCGAATGCCCGGCGCTGGGCGCCGAAGCCCCGCTGCCGCGGGGCCTGGCAAAGGGCGTCAAACCCCATGCCTTCTTCGAAGCATCGAATCGAAATTTGCGCTCTACACCTAATTCGGCGCAGTAGCGAAACGTTCCTGGCCCATCGCTCTGGCCCAAACCCGCGGCCGGCGCGTTCGACGCGTCCGCGCAGGGCGCAGCGGCCAAAGCCCCCGCCTTCCTGTCGCCCCAGCGAAATCGGATGGGCGCCTGGTCGCCGCGACGCAGCGCGAAATCCCGCATCGGCAATTTCACTTTCGCCCGCTGCCCCGCGAGGTGTGGCGAGATCGCGATGGCCCGGCGCTCGCAGTCGTAGCTGTTCGGCCGGAACTCCAAGGGGCAGCCGATCAGCGCCCTGCTGCCGCGGGGCCCCTCCGCGATCTCCCGTTTTCCCCCAGGGAACTTGCTCGTCTCGCATGCCCGCGTTGTGAAACCACTTAGCTGGAGACTCGAAAGGCGAGTCGCAATTTTCTTGTTGTTTGCGCCGCCGCTTCAACGCTTGATTTCGCTGCCGATGCGACTTGTCGAGCTTCTCTGAATAGCGCAGAAAATACTCGACGTCCAACTTTTCGCGCTCCTGGGGTTTGATCGCCGCCGCTGATGCGGCGGCGCTAGGCCCCTGCGACGCACGCGCGGCGTCGGTTCCCAGCTCGTCTTCTGGAAATGCAGCCCCAGGGCGCGCAGCAGGTCGAATGGCAGCCCTCACGAAATTATCATATTCGGGCATTCCGAGACTCGGGGCGCGGGAGCGCACGACGCCAAGCGCGGCGGAGGGAGATGGGCGCGCCGCCGCTTCACTCTTGGCGGCTGGACCACCATCCTGCCGCGTCGGCCCATGCCTGCACCACTCATGGCGAAGCGATCGCGCTGTCGCTGGCGCCCGATAGCACCGTTGCTCGCGGGCCGTCTCGCGGGCGCGGGAAGGCTTGAGCAGGATGGCCACGGGTACGCGAGGTGATGGGACGGCACGCGAATTTAAGAAAGCGGAGCGGGCATAATGGTAGCGAAGTGGAAGGCGGGGAAACTAACCCGAAGGGGGTCACAGCCTGAATATAATGAGGAAGCGCAGGGGCAGGGGGTGAAGAGGTAGATGGCGAGGCAAGCTGGCGACATAAAACTAGAGCGGAGCTTGAAAAATGCATGAGGACGACGTAGACTGGGATAACGAACCCTTCTGTCACAGAGAGGCTCGTCATGGGCTCCAACAAAGGGCCCTTCTGTCACCGAAGGGTTCAAAGGTCACCGAATTACGGATGTTGGGTTACCTCTGCGATCCTTCCATGTCGATTTGGAAGCGGCTTGGGGGTCTGCGCTGCACAGGCCCCAAGCAAACCGTCAACGGGGGGGGACGAAGACTTCCATTCAAAATCGGTGCCTGATCTCTCCCAATGTCGAATCTGGCAAATGTTCAAACCGCGTCCAGCCGTGGCGACGATAGGGGCCCGTTTCTTCCTCCTCTTCTGCTGGCCGGAACCAAGAGTTGGGCCACCTCAGCCCCTCAGCAGACTGCAAATCTCAACCACCTGTCTCCCCCGCTCCTCCTCCTCCTCCTCCTTCTCCTCCTCCTCCTCCTCCAATTCCTCCCCCTCCTCCTTTACCTTTTCATGTTCCTCCTCCTCCTCCTCGGGCGGGCTGGCGCCCAAGACGCCAGCCATAACCACGGGAATGATAGAGCGCACCACCTGCGAGCGCGCCAGGAGAGTGCGAGCGAATCGAGAAGACAACAAGCAGGCGCGGCGAAGGATGCAGCCGTCATCCACTCATAAAGGCGCAAGGTAAAGATGCAAGACCCTTGCGTCCGTGTTGGTGTGCGTGCGTGCGTGCGTGCGTGCGTGCGTGCGTGTGTGTGTGTGTGTGTGTGTGTGTGTGTGTGTGTGTGTCTGCTTCTTGTGGCACCTGCACACATCTTCATGTAAAAGCCTGCCTAGCCCACCTCTTGCTGGCAACACTGGTTGAACTAGATCGCTGTTCACGTGACTGGTGGCTGCGCTTCCCGCGATTGCGGTGGCGGACGCACAAGTGTTTGAGCGTTGGTTTTCTAGGCCGCAGCAACAGGGCGTTGGTGCAAACGTTGCTGCGGAAGAGCGCGAACATGGGCGACGCACGCGAGCAACTTCGAGATGCCAGTATCGTTGTGATCGCGAAACTCGTTATCTGAGATGTGTCCAGTAGTTGGCGGTCAAACACCAATTCGATGCACCCTGGATCCCTTCGGAGTGCAACCGAACGGGTTGAGAATCCAACCGGCCCTCCCCTGTGTATGGACGGGAGGGTGGGTGGGAGGGGCCGAGCGATTAGAAGGTTCGTTTTGATCCATATGGCTCCAAGATGGCCGCCGATACCCCGAGCATGGCCCCCAACCTCGCGCAAAGTGGGACACACTGATCCAGCATTGCGTTCAGCATGCTTCCAAACAAATCTTTGAGATGTCTGAAGGAAGGGCCCACGTGCCACGGCGTTACGAAGCCGTTAAAAGGATGCCCCCGACAGGCCAACATCTCCCAAACACATCCAATTTTCCAATGGTGCTTAGAATTCCAGCAATTTCGCTTCTGATTCGCTCTTGTGGATTCAAGCTGGCTCGAGACCCAGACTATCACCAAGATGACCTCAAAGGCTAACAAAAAACACCTCGGGACGCCCCAAGAGGGCACCTAGAAACGATTACACGGACTCCGGCATGGGAACCTAAATTGAGGATCCGTCCTGTTTGGATCGGGGCGATCTCCTGGATCGGTCCAAAAGGGCCCTGAAGACCCCCAAGAGGGCTCCAAGAGAGACCAAACAACACCAACATGCCTCCAGAAACGCCCCAAGATATACCCAAAAAGCGAATGCCTTGATGAATGGCCCCTGGTGCTTTCGCGTCTCTCCGGTGTCGCGGTAAACGCTCAAACCATCAAGGCCTAGCAAGCAGCGCCCGTACGGGGGGAGGCCTTCAATTTACAGAAAAAGATGCGGTTGTGAATGTGAGGGTGACGCGGCGGCTGCGTTCCGTCTCTGTGCTACAGTGTGCTTGCGCACGCACTCCTGTAATTGGGTCAACTCGTCATGGATCGCTTCTGGATGGGCTGGTCGGGACATGCGAAACGACACGAATTGTCGCTGCACTGCGATTGAGCATCTTAAGGAATGGCGTTGTTCCCCCATTAGTGGTAAACACAAACCAGGGCAACATCGGACGCCATGCGACAGCCAACCGCCTCTTGCATCATGTCGTGGCATTGGCGAGGGAGGCCACCACCCATGCAACCCAGCATCCCCAACAAAACTATCGTCCCATTGCTATGCTGCGCACTTCTATTTGCCCATGCAAGCGCTGCTTCGGCCTTCCCTGCACGGCATCAAACACGGTGTCGTGCCTCTTCCTTGGCAATTCCAGACTTTCCTGTCCCTGGCCGCCAGATCGGGCCGCATGATTCCCATGGAGGAAATGCCCACGCCCGACTTGGCAGTGCCTCCCGAAGCCCTTTTGCGCTCAACGCTACCAACGGGTACACACGCTGCGCCTGCAGCCGACACGCACATGTTCCGTCCCATGCCGCGGTAATGACGCGCAAACACACACACAAACACTGTTTGCGTCGGCGGCTAAGCAAAAACACGGCGCTGGCGGATAAACGCACGCACGCGCACACACACACACAAACGCACACACAGGCACTGAAACTGGCCCATACACATGCACAGACAGATACGCGAACACAGACACACACACAGACGCAGGCGCAGACGAAGACGCAGACTCAGACGTAGACGGTGACACAAACGCAGACACATACACAGACACTGACGCAGACGCAGAAAACGACGCAGGCACATACGCTGACACAGACACAAACGCAGGCATATGCAGACGCATACGCAGACTCAGACGCACACGCACACGCACACGCACGCACGCACGCACGCACGCACACACTTACACTTACACTTACACTTACACACACACACACACTTACACTTACACACACACACATTTACACACACACACACTTACACACACTTACACACATACACTTGGAAGCGGAAAATCCACAATATTATGTTGTAGGGGCTATTTGCTAAATGGGGCAAGCCTGTTAGTAAAATGTTTAAAATGAAGCCGGGATCGGGGCAAAATTTGACCAGGATAAAAATCATGCTCGGTTTTTCAAATCACCGGTGGCGCCGCCGAACGGGCCTGCCACGCCTTGGGCGCCATCGGCTTCGCGAGGGAAGAAAAGCGCCCCGGCGCGGATGAAGCCGCGGCGCGTATTTGGCTTCGCGCACGACCGAGGGAATTCAGCGCCAAGCGCCTTTCACTCCAGAAGGCCCGACGTCAACAAAACAAACTTGAGGCCCAAAGGGGGCCCCAAGAAGGCGGACCGCCAAAACAATCACGCAACCAACGCAAAGAAAAAAACACGAACATGTCAAACATCGTGTTACTCAGTGACCTCTTCGGCCAAGCAACGCCGCGATAATGCCCAAGACGGCATTGGAAAAAAATCACGCGCGCGGCCAGGCGACTTCCCCGCGCCGCCCCAAGGTTCCCGAAGCGAGCCGAAATGACCGTAGAGAACACTCTGGAAAGTCTTTGGAAAATCCCCGCGCCATGCAAGATCCGCCACCGAACAATCTCGCGGACACCTAGCGCGTGCGCGCGGGCGTCCACCATGGATGCCCAACTCCGGTTTCCGAGACAATCGCGCGCGCCCGCCTGGGGGCCTCGGCGACCTCGCAATTGGCCCAGGGGCCCGCGGGGCCCAGGGAATCGAAGACAGGTTCGCAACTCCGGAAGCATCGGGCGCGGCGCCAGCCAGTCGCTCGTCTCTGGCGGACAGTAGGACGCCTGGAGAAAGACCTGGTGGAACCCAAGGAACCGCTTTTCAGAGATTCACAGAACCAGAAACCGGGGCGCGCCAAATTCTCGCGTCCGAACTTCTCTGAGAATCTCTGAAAATCTCTGAAATAGCCACCCCGCGTGAAACATTCCCATAAACCCAAAACCTCGGAGCTGGCCGAAACTCTCTGAGAGTTTTTTCGGCCCGCGAAATTTGGCGCGCCCGGATTTCTGGTTCCGAGATCCTCTGAAATCGCGCTGCGGTGGCGCCCAGCAGGTCCTCGCGCGCCCAGGGTGGGGGCCGTGGACATCGCGGGCCGCGACGGTCCCGACCGCGAGGTCCTTCCTCCTGCCCCATCGACGAGTCCACGCTCATGGACACGCTCTCTGCGCTGAGCGTGGACCGCGCCATCCGCCGGTACTTCTGCGCGACGACAGCCAACTGGCCGCCGACGGACAAGACGATTTTTCTCCGAGCTGCGCGTGCCACCGAAAACGTACAATAGCCCCGGGCTCGGGGAGAAACACTTTCGATGCATTTTCAGGCCGCCAGCGTCTCAGCTGCCGACCCGCCGCGCGCCGACCGAGAGACTAGCTGGGCCCACTACGTCCACGGCGGCGGGCGGGCGCCCAAGAGAGCTGTCGCCACGGTGCGCGCGGCGGGGCGCCCGCCCAACTGCAGTCGCTAATGCCGCCTCCATGGCGCCACAGGCGTAATATGTGTGACGCATTCGCGGGCCCCCCATCAGCGCATTGGCCAGCGCCCAAGTCCCTGAAACGCAAACCTACTGTGCCCCCCGTGCAAGCCGCGCACCCGCTCACAATGCTCGTGCACACCAGATTTTCTGCCCGCCCTCAACAGTTCAATTGAGCGCCCATGTGTTACTTGGGCTCCTCGAGCCCTCGAACACACTTTGGGAACTTCTGCGAATGCGCGCGCTACGCTCCACAAATCGGCGTTCCATTTTTCTCTGGAACTCTCCCAGAATCTCTGGTTCCGGTTTGTCCGGATCTTCCGCTCCACTGAGTGTTGTTGCTCAGTTGCGCGACGACCATGGCGGCGCGTCCGAATTGCCGAGCCACGTCCTGCGTTCGCGCCCTGAATCTCTTGTCAAGGAGCATCTACAAACCGCTGAAAACAGGTGCAAGGCTCGCCGCGACCCGATGTAACGCGATCTCGATTGCTCGACCAAATGCATCGCGGGGTGGACTGGCAGGGACGACGGGGCCCCCCCGCCCCCCGACCGGACCCTGGCCCCGCACCCCCAGGGCCTTACTACGGCAGACCTCGGATTTTACTGAAGCGAAGAAACGGCTTTACTAAAGCGAGGCAGCGGCTTTACTAAAGCGAGGAAGCGGCTCTACTAAAGCGAGGAAGAGGCTTCAGTAAAGGCGCGCCGCTCAATACATTCCGAACAAATCACTTAGGCAAAAAAGGAACTTTAGTAAGATGGAATGACGGCAGGGGTAAAATTGCGCACGGAAAAATCAGTCCTCCCATAAAATTGGGCGCGGGACTCCAAGAACGAAGGCGGGGCGCAAGTTCGCCCGTGGGCCTGGGCCCTGTCGCCGCCGTCGCCGCGATGATCGTCGTCGACGCCGTCGCCATTACCGCCGTCGTCACAGTCGGCGCAGACGCCGCAGTCGTCGTCGCCGTCGCCGTCGTCGTCGCCGCGACGCCCGCGCATTCACGTTATTACCACCGGCGGGTCGCGCGCGACCACGTGCCAGTGCGTTCGCATTTCCGCTCCTCCGACGCGGGCCCAGGCGGACATTGTGATTTTTCTTCCACCCACAACTTCTTTGAAATGCCAATGGGAAGCTCACGCCTCTGACACACACACACACACACACGCACACACGAACACACACACACAAACACACACACACATACTTTCGTCGGCGGCTTGACAGAGTCGCTGCGCTGGCGGATATGGCGTTGGTAGGTCGTACGTAGCGCGAGTCAAACAACGATGCGCGAGGAGGAAGGAGGAGGCGCCCTGCGGCGGCGGGAGGGACTCGGATACCGAGCCCGCTCAGCAAACGCATGGCAAGGGCGGCACCAGGGGGCGGGATTAGCAAGGGCGACAGCTGGGGGGGGAGAAGCCGGCAAGGCGGGCTGCCAGGCAGCAGGCCGTGAAAGGGAACAAAACCCCAAAGAGACTGGTGCGAAGGTGTGCACGCACCGCAAGGGGCCAACGGGTGCCGAAGTCACGCGTGACCTACGCGAGCACCCGGGCCAATGGCGACCAACACGAGACCACCTCAAGGTGAGGGGTCGGCCCGAAAACCACGCAAGGCGGAGGCGGGGGCGGGGCGTGGGCGGCAAAATCAGCCCGGGGGCGCGGCAGGAGGGCCGAAAGGCGGTCCCGTCGCTAAGCAAGGGCCGCGGGGGGGGGGAACACCGAACTCGTGCGCAGATGGCGGACGCAGGGCCCAAAGCGGGCCAGGAGAAACGGCAAGGCGACGGCCAGGGTGCCGGCGCGGCCAGCTTGGGTTGGAAACATCAGCGCCTGGCGCACAAAGACACACCGAGGCGGCCAGGTGGCAGAGCCCGGGCCGCGGGCTGGTGCACTGGCAGGACGTGGGCGGTGGCAGGGCAAACGGGCGGGGCCAGGGCAACAGGCGAGGTGGGGGGGGCAGGGCGGGGGGCGCAAGCGGCAAGACCAGCCCAGGCCCCGAGACGCCCGAGCACGGCCAGAGGGCCGAGGGGAGGCGAGCCCGCCGAGAGGGCAGGGGTCGCAGGGGGAACGCCGAGAGCACCGATGGTGCGAAGCCTGTGGGAGCGGCGGCAGCGCGTGCTGCCGTAAGTGGGGGGAACAAACACACAGACAAACACACACACACACACACACACACACACACGCACGCACGCAGTCACAGGCACGCACTTACACACACATACACGCACAAGCACGCGCACACGCACGCGCACACAAACACACAGACACACACACACACACACAGACATACACAGACACAGACACACAAACGCACGCACTCACGTACGCACGCACTTTCGCACGCACGCCCGCACGCACGCAGACTCTCTGTCTCTCTCTCTCTCTCTTTCTTTTTCTCTCTCTCTCTCTCTCTCTCTCTCCCTCTCTCTCACACACACGCACGCGCACACACGCGCGCGCGCACACTCACACGCACACGCACACAACACAGCACACACACGCGTATAAACAAACAACACACTACTTACACAAACCATTTTGCATATGACAAATCAGAAACTACAGACAGCCACCGTGAACACGTCGATGAGACGAGACCCATTAGGCATGGCTCTTCAGCCAGCTGTAAAGTGTAGTAAGGTAATTCAACTTTCGCACACGATCTTCTTGAAGATGAAGCGGAGAGGTGCGCGCAAGCAGCGCGGGGGAGTACGACTTCACGTTATACGCTATCAGCGGGGAGGGGATGGGACCCCAGGCACCCTCAGAGTGAAGCACGTGGAAAAAACCTGCCCAACCCCGCGCTTCGCCCTGCGTGAGGCGCGAGTATCTTCTCGCCCCTATGGGTGTCATGCGCCAGAGGGACACCCGTTGGTGTCGGTGTCGCTCTGCGCTTCGGTGTCGCCGCCCGTGGGTGTCGCTCTCTGACTCGGTGTCGGTGCCCCGTGGGAGTCGCGCTCTGCGCCAAGCGCGAGTACCATCGAGCTTGTTCAGAAGGCTGGCCCTTCCAAATTGAAGGACCCCTCATGCCCTGCGTTCCGCGTCCCATGCCGCCCTCCGCAATCCCGGAGGCAACGTGGAGGCACTTCCCCGACCGGACGGAGCGAGCGCTGGCCAGCGTGGCCCGCATTCCTCGCGCTGGCACCCCCTCCCCCGCGCACCTCTCTGGCCCCAGCCTCCAGAGGACCTCTCCCAGGAGGCGTCGGACCCTCGGGGGCCCCCGGGGGGCATCACAGGGGGAAGAATCGAATAGGAGATCGACCATCAAATTGCAAAATAGCTGTACCCCAAAATCGGAATTGTCGTCGAACTGATTTGAAATGCGTCGGATTTTCGTGGATCTACGAACGTTATACATGTTGTGTAGATTATAACAGAATTTCAACTCTTGGGTAACTCAGTGCTGGAGTCAACCTCCTACTCCCTCCCAGGGAGGGGTCGCCCACCCCCCAGGAGGGTTGGGCCCCCCTCCAGGAGGGATACAGGGTTTGCTCATGCTCTCTGCAGGGCCCTTGCGGGACCTCGCGCCACAGGCCATGGAGACCCTAAAAGGCGCCGATGCCGCGGGGCCCCGGACCTATCCCCGGGGTCCGTTCTGACTAGGATTTCGAGGCGAACCCAGCCGTGGCTACTACAGGCCTCGTAGATGGGGTCCGAGTGGATGGGGTCGGAGGATCGCGCCGCTTCGCCGATGCATCGGCGACGTTGGCGGTGCATCAGTGACGCCGGCGCGGAGCAAATCGGGCTCCACATCGAGAAGCATCGCTGAGGCATCTGCGATACGGCGCGATCCTCCGACCCCATCTACTCGGACCCCAGCCAGGAGTCCTAAAGCGACCAGGGCGTCCAAAGAGGCCCACAAGGGCGCGAACGAGGGAGGGGCAGTGGTATCGGATAGCTGGTCGGATCCAACGGAAGATTGAATAGTTGTTGCAAACGTCACGTATATGCCGCACCCGTAGCCCTTCTGGCCCTGAGAGCTGACAACTGCGAGGCCCGCGCCCCTCTCTGACCCTCAGCGGTGCGCCTGCCAGGCAGTTCCGGCAGACAGGGCAAAGCGAGCGAGCCTTGACATCGCAACGCAAGAATGAGCAGCGGCATCGGTGCCTCGTCGACGCCTTCGTCGTCGTCGCCGTCGTCGTCGTCGTCGTCGTCGTCGTCGTCGTCGTCGTCGTCGTCGTCGTCGTCGTCGTGCGCAAGGCGCCTCTGCGCCACCCCCTGCGCGCGCGGCAATCCCGCGCGCGTGCCGTGCAGCGCGCGGCCGGGTTTCGCCCGCGGGTGAACGTCGGCTGCCTCCTCTGCGCCCCCATCCCGTCGCCCCTGACCACCACCCTCTTCGCACGACCGTCCGAGAGACTGCTTTTTGTTGTATCGCGGCGCCTGCCCCTCACATCCGGCACCTCGGAGCCGCTTTCGGGCCCCTGGGTCGTCAGACATGGATCCGGGACGACAGACTGCCCAGCTTGGAAGTGGTCGGGAGCTATTCGGCGGCGGAAGGGCCAAATCGCATCGCCAGATGTCTGGACATCATCCCTCCAAGTTTATGGTCGATGTGCTGGCCCTCTTTTGAACCTACGAGGGGCCGCCATGCAGAGGCATTCCGAGACCTCGGGCCCCCTCAGAAAGTCTCCTCCTCCCTCAACGTGTGCCCCAGGACGAAGCCAGGATGAGGATACATTCGTATGGTAACGAATCGGTAATCTCCGAGAGCCAGCGGGTCTGGAAGATGTATCGGGCGCCGCGGTCGTGGAAGAGCACTCTGGAACGCTCTGAGAGCGTTGCTGAACGCTGGAGCGCTCGATCCTCATCTTGGGACTCTCTCGAACATCCCACCAGCCTTCTGGGCTCAGGTGGCCTATTGATAGCATTACTTCCTCTTCCAAACTCCCATCTTCCCTTCGGGGAGGGATACCCTCCCCCTCCTCTCCCTGTTCTTCCCAACCCTCCTGTGTTGGCTGCTCGTTTTGACTAGACGCGCACCTCCTTCTCCTCCCCCACCCCCTCCTCCCCTCCCTCCTCCTGCCTCCTGCTGCGCTGATCCATGGGAGGCTGCGAACTGCGCAACTGTCGCCACTTTCGTGAGCTCTTGTGCGGCACGGCCGAGTAGGGGAGTACCCGAATCCTCGCAACTCCCTGGGAAACTGCAAACTGCGCAACTGTCGCTACTTCCGTGGGCTCCTGGGAAAAACGGCGGAGTCGGGAGTACCCGAGACCTCGCAGCTCCCTGGGTGGCTGCGAACTGCGCGGCCGTCGCCACTTTCGTGGGCTCCTGGGATGCACGGCGGAGTCGGGGAGTACCCGAGACTGCCCAAAAGTGACGACAATCCGCCGGCCCCCTTGTGGGGCCACCAGGCTGCGAGGCGCGGGATTCGCAGTTTCCTGTACCAGTTGTAGCTTGTAGTTTCCAGTGTTACAGTTCTGCTTCTTGCTGGTTACTGTAACTAGTTGACTGATTGCTGGTTACTGTAACTAGTTGATTGACCGCGCGAGGGGGGGGGAGGCCCAAACAGGATTTTTAGCCTCACCTGGGCGCGTTGTCTGAGTTGCTGGGGGGGCTCGAAATCGACACCCCTCACGCAGATCCGCGGGGTCAGGGTCCAACAAACACATGGGATTTGCCACATTTCTGAAATTCGGTGCCACCCCTCACGCAGATCCGCGGGGTCAGGGTCCAAAAACACATGGGATTTGCCACATTTCTGAAATTCGGTGCCACCCCTCACGCAGATCCGCGGGGTCAGGGTCCAAAAACACAGGGGATTTGCCACATTTCTGAAATTCGGTGCCACCCCTCACGCAGATCCGCGGGGTCAGGGTCCAAAAACACAAGGGATTTGCCACATTTCTAAAATTCATGCAGATCCGCGGGGTCAGGGTCCAAAAACACAAGGGATTTGCCACATTTCTGAAATTCGGTGCCACCCCTCACGCAGATCCGCGGGGTCAGGGTCCAAAAACACAGGGGATTTGCCACATTTCTGAAATTCGGTGCCACCCCTCACGCAGATCCGCGGGGTCAGGGTCCAAAAACACAGGGGATTTGCCACATTTCTGAAATTCGGTGCCACCCCTTACGCAGATCCGCGGGGTCAGGGTCCAAAAACACATGGGATTTGCCACATTTCTGAAATTCGGTGCCACCCTTCACGCACATCCATCGCAAGGCGTGGTAACCCAAACTGCGAGAACTCCCTCGGCCCTTTAATCGCAAGGTGTGGTAACCAAGCCCGTAAACCATACACGTCTTACCAATCGCCAGGTGTGGTAACCATCAACCGATGAAATACATGGCGATTCTTCGCGGATTTGTGACCCCCTCGAATTGTGAACCATGGCCAGGCCATCAGTTGGTTTTGCTGATTGCGAATCGGCTTCGCATGAAGTTTCGATACTGCTTCACGACAGCGCCAAGACCTCATGACTTAGCTCTTCCATGGCCCATTCTCCGAGGGAGGGGGCCGGCGGCAGGGGGCGAAGCCCTTACGGATTACAGGATTTGAATGACCCCCTCGAATTTGAACATGGAGGCGGGAACCTCATAGAGAGAGAGTTCCCGCTCGAGACTTCCTCGCGATTCACTCACCGACGAGGTTCCCGTTCGAGACTTCCTCCAGAGTCAGGCCTGAGCAGCAAAACGTGACGACAATTTCACGATTTGGATGACGCGGGCTCCCGCTCGAGACTTCCTCGCGATTCGCTCACAGTCGAGGCTCCCGCTCGAGACGTCCTCCAGATTCAAGCCTCAGGAGCCCCAAAATGACGAGAGGTACCCGCTCGGAATCGAACCTCGAGGTGGGGACCCCATAAAGCGAGGGCTCCCGCTCAAGACTTCCGTGTGATCCAATCAAAGACGAGGTTCCCACTCGAGTTCCTCCAGACTCCAGACTGGGGCCTGAGCAACCCAAGGGTGACGACAGTTACATGATGTCAATGACCTGCTCGGATTCGAACATCGAGGTGAGCCCCATAGGGAGGAGCTCCCGCTCGAGAGTTCATCCCAATTCACCGACAAACCCAGCCCCCGCTTGAAACTTACGACTCCCTCAACATGAGTTTGCGAATGGATGTGTCCAGAGAAAACACGAACCCCACTCAGGGTGTGGGGGAAACCACAAGCATTTATTTTCGGAGATCCGCGCGAATTTCGTGGATCGGCACCAGCGGCTAGCACTAGCGGCGGCGCTGGAGACGCAGCAAGGAGGGCCCAACGCAAGTCCAAAACATCCGCGCGGACCGTCGTCATTTGGTTTATGAGGTGATTTGGGGAGGCTCGGACATTGGCATCAACACCAACAGAGGGGGGTGCCTCCACTGGGGGATGATCCTAGATTCGGATTTGGGTGGTGGTAGTATTTCGGCCACCTAGGAAGCCCGAACATTACCACCAGCACCGAGATCGAAATCATCTTCCCTCGGTGGAGGCACACAGCCAACATAGGCATCGGTGCTACAGCGGAGGCCAGTCCACACGAAACATTCCACAAGAAATCCAACCCTGAGACCCTGGGACGTCTATGGATTTTGGGTGAGGGAACGTCACGATTTCCATAGCTAAACCATCGAAACCCAAGAAACCCAGGGCACCCTGGAGGCAAGCAGGGTGTTTCTTGGCATGGGTCCCCAGTGTAACCTCCAGGCCTCCGACTGCTTTCCTATCCGATCGAGGCAGCCTTGACTGTGCGTCCTCCTCCAGCCACCCCGCCGTATGCCGCGCCGAAGTTGGCGAAAACAATGGCGGAGGTCACCCCCATGAAGCCGAAGAAGGCGGACGACGGGTCGCAGGGCTGCACCATGGCGCCTGCCCCCCGGAAACCTAGCACGGCGACCCTCTTACAGTCGGCCCGTATCACAGTCGGCCCGTACCTTGGACGCCCATTTCGAAGCTTCTCGAGCGGGCCGCGGCCAACGAAATTGGCCAAGGATGGAGGCAAGGATGCCAGGGTACCCTTGGGATAGATGCCCATCCTTATTATGCGGGTTGACTGCAAGCCCGCAAGACTGAAGCCAGGACAGGGACCAAATTGGACAGGGATGAATCGGGGATCTCGAGATCTGGCAATTTAGAGTCCTCCTAGATGGGGTCGCGGTTGATGGGGTCGGAGGATGGCGCCGCATCGCCGATACATCGGACGTGCATCGGCGATGCACCGTCGACGTGGGCGATGCATCGGCGACGTCGATGTGAAGCCAATCGGGCTCCACATCGAGAAGCATCGTCGATGCATCGTCGATGCGGCGCGATCCTCCGACCCCATCTACTCGGACCCCATCTGGGAAGCCTAGACAATTCTGAAGCATGTAGTTCACGGCCGCCGCGGCCGTTCTAGCGCGCTCCGGAACGCTCTGAGAGCGAAAGCTTTCTAAACCTTCTCCGAAGACGCAGAACAATTCTCAAAAGGCCGGAGGGCTTCTGAGAAGCCCCGCCGCCTTCTGAATTGGCCTGCACCCTTCTCTCCCAGCCCCTCCTGGGCGCGCCGCGGGGTCGGCGAGTCGCACCGCATGGACTGCAGATCGAGTCGCATCCCCGATGTACTGGCGATGCGGTGCGATCTTCCAGCCCCGCCTGCTCCAGGCCCCCTCTGGGCGGCCTGGATTACCCCAAGGCTGGAGGAACACGCTGTTTATGACTTCTTCGCGAGAACGCACGTGACCGCTCCCTCCCCGTCGCGTCACGATTCGCGCGGGCTCCGTCTGAGAATTGGCCATTCCTACGCTTTCCCAGACGGCGCCGGCGCGAATCGCGACGTGACCAGCCCACTCGCCCCCTCCCCCCGCCCCCCCGATCACAGCCGTTACCGCCAGGGGATGAAGCAAAACATGTTTCCCGGCACCGCGCAAAAAACATTGAGCGAGGCGGGGGGGCCGCAGGTACAAACGACTGCATCCGCAGGAAGCACGAACTTCTGGAGGTCCGCGCGACTTCTTGGGTCGGCGGTCGACCCCCCCTCCACACACAGCCCTGGCGGCGCCTTTGACGCCGCCCCCCCGGCGCTGGGGTTAGCGTGGGGGGAAGGGGGAGGGTCCAGCGTCCACCCAAGAGATCTGCGCGGAGTTCCGAAAGGTTCCAACCCTCTCGAAGCGCGTCGCCGCGCGCACCCCCCGACATCGTGTGCTGTCGAGCTCACGTGTCTCGAAGGAGAACGAATATTGTGGACCCCCCCCCTCCGCCCCCTGGCCTCCAGGAGGCCCCCAAGAAGCCCCGCAACAGATGCGGAGGAAGAGGAGGGCAAATTTTCGACTGCACGCAGACAGCCCGACGGGACGTGTCAAACAGCACGCATGAAATCGGGCATCCTCTTCTGGGGGTCGGCAGAAGGGCGTCAGCCTCTTGAATCATGATTGCTGATACCCCCTCACCAGTGCCCATTGCGTTGTTACAGTTGAAGTGCCCCCCCCCCCAGCGCTCGCACCATGTATTCCTTCAGGGGGAGTCTTGAGGCCCAAGCTGTGCCCCTGGGCCCTCGGCTGCAAAGGCTCCCGCCTCACACTCTCGCCCAGTATATTCAAGGGATCGCGCTTTCGCTTGAGGCTTCCTCGCGGATTGCTCCTAAATCACGCTGTGGCCTGGCCTTCCTCGCAAGGTATTCAGACATCGCGCTCCCGCTGCTCAAGCAAAGTACTCTCGCTCGAGACCTCCTCGCATGTTTATCAAGAACCGCGCTCTCGCCTCAGCCTTGTCCACCATCTAATCATAAACTGCGCCCTCGCCGCTCAAGAACCGTGCTCCCGCATAAGGCATACTCACAGTGGAATCGTGCACTACTGCCCCGCCCGCCCGACCCGCCTGGTAGGGCCGCCCGCCTGACCCTCCCATCAAGGTACCCCCAGCCCGCCCATCAAGGCCCGCCCGTCCCGCTCGCTCAGTAGTGCCCACCAGGCCCATTGCTTGGAAACCCCTCCGCCTAGATGTTCTGCCCGCCCGACCCGCCCGACCTGCCCATTAGGGTCCGCCCGCCCAACCCGCCTATGAAAGTCTGGCCGCCGGACACGCCCGTCCCCCCCGAACCACCCGCTGGGGTCCGTCTGTTCCCGCGCGCCCGACTCGCCCATTAGGATCCGCCCGCGGACCCGCTTGTCTTACCCTGCCAGAGACCCGGGTGCTGCGTGGCAAAATGTCATCCCTGGAAGAGGGGTGTGTTCATACACGACGAAGGCGGGAGTCGAGCGTTTGGGGTACACATTTTGAGTGCGACGCGGGCAATGAAGAACGAACCGCATTGCAACGATGTTTGCTGCTGATATATTGTTGGTAGCGGCCCGAGATGGTGGAAAGTGTGCTTCCAAGACAACTCGAGATCGCTCTAACACGGCCCAAGATGAAACCAACACGGCCTACTAAGAAGACCTCAAGGCGCCCCCAACGGGCTCCAAGAGGACCCCCAATTTTCTACATGTTTTTTCCCTACCTAGGCTCTGCCTAGAAGGGTTCTTACTCTCTAGCTTAAAGGGGCCGGGCAGTGGAAAGCGCCCCGGGCGGTTCCCCCAGTCCCCGCCCCGCGGTTCCCCCAGTCGCGCCCCCTGGGTCCACCCAGCTTAGCTTAGCTAAGCTAAGCTAAGCTTAGCTTATCATATTAGCTTAGCTTAGCTTAACTTAGCTTAGCTTAGCTTTGCCTACCCTAGCTTAGCTTAGCTTCGCTGAGCTTATCTCATATTTGCTTAGCTTAGCTTAGCCTAGCTTAGCTTAGCTTGGCTTAGCTTAGCCTAGCCTAGCCTGGCCTAGCTTAGCTTAGCTTAGCTTAACACAGCTTAGCTTACCTTAGCTTAGCTTATCGCAGCGCAGCGTAGAGCAGCGCAGCATTAGCACAACACAGCACAGCACAGCATAGCATAGCATAGCTATGCATAGCATAGCATATCGTAGCATGTCATATCATGTCATAGCATCGCATTGCTTGGCGTAGCGCAGCGCAGCATATCATAACATAACACAGCATATCATAGCATAGCATAGCACAGCATAGCGTAGCATAGCATAGCGTGGTATATCATAGCATAGCGCAGCATAGTATATCATAGCCTAGCCTAGCATGGCATAGCGCAGCATAGCATAGCATAACATAGCATAGCATAGCGCAGTATAGCCTAGCATATCATAGCGCAGCATAGCACAGCATAGCGTGTGGATGTAGGTGTAGGTGTAGATGTAGATGTAGGTGTGGATGTAGGTGTATATGTAGACGTGATGTGAGTCTCGCTGTTGATGTAGATGTAGATGCAGGTGTAGATGTAAATGTAGTTGTCGGTGTAGATGTAGATGTTGCTTTCCTAAATGCTCCAACTCCTAGGTATGGTCGCACTGGGATAATGGTAAGCTTTAGCGTTCTCATCGTTTCGGGTTTCCGTCAAAACAAGCTGGCCCAAGAGCCCTTCAGGTTGAAGGCGACCTGAGAGGCCAGCAAGAGGGCCTCAAGATGGCGCAAGAGGGTCCAAGCATGTGGCCGTTATGAGTCCCCCAATATGGCCTCAGGACGGCCCAAGGAAGCCGCAAGAAAACCCCAGAGACTCGCAAGACGGCCGTAGAGAGAGCCGAAGTGTCACGTATGACGGCCATCTGCGCGTTGCTCCAACTGGCGCCACACAGAGTTTGGGGCAGAAGGACGGAGATGCGAGGAGGAGATGGGGCAGGAGGAACGCGGAGAGAAAGGAACACGAGGGCTGGACGAGGCCAAAGCTGAGGACGAGTAAACTAAAAGCACATCGACTCGACGCGGAAGGGCGTGTCTAGAAGACACGCCGTCGCCGTCGCCGTCGCCGATGCACCGGCGGTGCGACTCGCCGACCCCGCTTATCGAACAATCGAAAACTGCATAAACATGCATTTTTGGAACACCGCGCTGATTTCTTGGATCCGCGCTGGACCCCCTTCCCTGGCGCGCGCAGCACGTCAGGGGCGGCGCCGGAGGGGGCCCCGGGGGGGGGCCCAGCTCCGATCCAAGAAATCCGCGCGGAGCTCCGACAGTATACAATATCCGATGTTGCAATGTTCCATCTTCGAGTGCCACATGTCATGGCCCCAAGCCTCGGGACACGAGGAGACACACGCTAGGGGGTCCTGTGCGCTCCTCGAGCAGCTGCCACCCAGATTGCTGGGCTGGCAGGGTGACGGGCCGTGGCGTTCATACTCGTTCCTTCTTCAAGATGTGGTCAGCGAGAATGCAATGCCCAGTGTACACGTAGCAGAAGAGCAGAGGGTCCGTCCCCTCCCAGATCACTCTCATCTTGATTCGGATTCCTAATGAAACAGGTCCAGGGAGCATCGATGCAGGAGCCCAACCTCTCGAGATGCTAGCGCCGTCGGTCCTCACGCACCAGAGACGCATGACCCCTTCAGCAAAGCCTATCAAATATGCATTACCAACACAATGCTGGAATAATCAGCAATTTGCCTCACGGAACCTTGGATACGGAAGGAAACAACTTATGGGTTTCAGTTCCGCGAGGCGTGCTAGGGAAGGGCCAGTGGAAGGACCCAAGGAACATCGAGTCCCTTTAGAACCCGAGATGGACCTTATCACACGTGTGGTTGCATTCCCCACATGCTTGGCCCTGGTGAAGTAGTCATGTGAACGACGAGAAGAAACTGGTCTACGCGAGAAGTCATATAGCGGTGGCTTACGCTGGCAGCCAGCGTGGCACACCGCTTGGAGAGGAAGGTGATGTCACGCGACCTCACGCGGGCACCTTGCGCCCCGCGCCATCAAACCCATTGTTCGGCGCCGCCCGTGAATGTCGGTATTATGATTCATGCCTTATCTCTGCTTCCAAATGTTTGGCTGATTCTGCGTCTCCCCCCCCCACCGCTGGCCTGAAGCTGGGCCCGAACTGTCGGCGGGCGGGAAACCGTCAGCTCCCTGAGCACTAAGGGCAAACTCGGGCAGCAGCCCGCGCAGGCTGCTTGACGGGCGCGGGGAGGCAGCGAGCGCTGCGCCTGGAGGCCAGAATTACATGCTGATGTGGCCAGAAGCGTTGGCACGGACCAAGCGCGCCGAAGCAACGGACTGGCTTAGGGCGGCAGGCGGGAGGGGCGAACAGGAAAGAGCCGAGGGGGTGGGCCGAAGTGTGGGACCATGGAGGAGAAGAACACGGGGACCATGCTGGAGACTGACCGCGAAAGCGTCATGTGGATCTTGGTCTCCGTCCATCTTGGCCAGCGTCAACTCCGGAACCCCCTAAACGGTACAGTGACCACAAAGCAAGGTGAATCAATGGGAAATCGGGGTCACCGCAAAGTTTTGGGACTCTGGTCGTTCTCCCAAGACGTCCCGGGCGACTGATGCCTCCGAGGTCCCTACACCGTGCGGTGACGGACTGCGCGGTGACGTCGCTGGGGGTTCCGAGTTCACCACGCGGTCCGTCACCACACGGTTTGGGCCCCCCGAAGCAATTCGTGGATCATCTTCGTGAGTTTGCGACGGCCAATATGGACCATGGCCAAGATCGGCGTCGACAAGACCATGGTCATGGTCAACGTGCTTCCTTTCGCGTAGGAAAGCGGGGTCGGGGGGCGCCGTGTTCGGGAGGAGGAAGACGAAGGGAGCAAACGATGGAATGGCGCCCCGCCGCATTCCCCTGGGCTGCGCAGCCCCCTCGCCGCTGGCGGGGCGGGAGGGGAGGAGCCGAGGACACGATGGGCGGGTCGGGTGGCGTGGCCGCTTGCTCATGCTTCTCAGAAAGCTCTCCAAGGCGGCAACCCACAATCGAAACCCCGCCGCGACCGAACCGAAACGCGAAAACGAGACCGACCGACAGGCCGAAAGCAGCGTCGCAAGGCTCTCAACGACGCAACAACGACACAATAATCGACCGAACGGAACCGATCCGACTGAATGCAACCGACAGTGACGCAGCAGCTTCGGCCGAACCGAGGATATCCTTTGTTCTCCCTGTTGGCGCGCTGGCTGGCGCGAGCGGATGCGGCGGGGTCGTCTCCAGCGCGTACCACTCAGGAGGGGGAGGCGGAGGAGGCGGAGGAGGCGGAGGCGGAGGAGACTGCAGCTTCTTCGTGCAGGAAGCAGGAGCAGGGGGGCGGGGTTGCCATCAGCTACAAGCTGGAACAGGCAATCCCTCGACTCTGTGCCCCCCCCCTCTGTGCCCACAAGCGCACATTGTCCAAGCAGGGCAACACGGAGGGGTGGGGCGGGGCAGGCGTGCGGGCGGCCCCTGCCTCCGCGAAGCCCCCCATTCCCTGCCCCTCGTCTGGGGTCGTTTACGAAGGGGACTTGGAAGTGGGGGGGGGTCAGCGCAGCATGACCCGAGGCATTTGAGCGGAAGAAGGGGGCCAGGAGATTAAAGGCCCCCGGCCAAGATAATTCTAGACGCTTCGCGTATCCCCACCAGCCCGTCCAGAAACGACGCCCAGGCGAGTAGAGGGTCGTCCTGAGGGGCTTTTCGGCGTCTTGGGTGCCTCGGGGGGGCCTCTGTGGGCCGTTCGGGATCCTCTTTGGGGCCTCCTGGGGGCCTCTTGGGGCCATCTTGGGGCCTTTGGGGGCCTCTGGGCGCTTCTTGGGGCCATCTTTGCCCCTTGGGTACCTCTGGGGGGTCTCTTGGGGCCTCTTGGGGGTCTCTTGGGGGCCTCCTGGGGGCCTCTTGGGGGGCCTCTCGGGGCCATCTTGGGGCCATCCTGCGGCCTCTTAAGACATCGGCCAAGGAAGTGGGGTTCCCTAGTTACAGCCCCCCCCCCAGGAGCTCCAAAAATCGTTTCCTGGAACCCTCTTGGATCGCTCTTGGAGCGCTCGTGGCCGCTCTTGGAGCCATCCTGGAACCATCTTGACGCGTCGGATGTGCATCGCAAGCGAAAAAGTGAGAACACCAAGAACATTGAGTTTCCCTAGGGTTTTGAAGCATTTTGGCCTCTTGGATGCATCCTAGTGATGCTCTTGTGGGCACTGGGAACCGTCTTGGGGAGTTCTTGGAGCGTCTTGGAACATCATGGGGACCATCTTGACGCATCTTGCGCTATCTTGAGCCATCTTGGAGGTCATCTTGAGCTCCCTGAGGCCCTCTTGGAGCCGTCTTGGGCCGTCTTGGACGCTCTAACTACCCGCGGCCCCCCCTGTCCAGGTCAGTGGGGAGGGGGTAGGGGGAGGGGTAAACCCTCCCCGAAGGGGAAGAAGGAGGGGTTAAAGAGGAAACGCTCTAAACCACCGACGCCCAGAGGGCTGGTGGGATTCTAACAACTATTGTAAGGATTAGGAAGAAGAGGAGGAAGAAGCGGGAGGGGAGGACGCAGGAGGAGGAGGAATGGGTGGACGCGGGGGGGGAGGATCCTGGAGAGCTCATATGGCCATGTGGAAACGTCTTGGGACGGTGTTGGAGCGTCTTGGAACATCTCCGGTGCCGTCTTGAGGCAGGTTGCGCTATCTGGAGGCAGCCGCTTGGAATCGTCGTGGAGCAGTCTTGGAGCGTCTTGGAACATCATCGGAACCATCTCGAGGCAAGTTGCGCAATTCTCAACCATATTGGAGGCTATCTTGGGCTCCCCGAAGCTCTTTCGGAACCGTCTTGGCCCATCTTTCACTATCTTGTGAGCCTCCTGGAGGCCTCTTGGGCGTCTCTTGGGGCGTTCTTGAAGCGCTGTTGGAGGCCTCAGAGGCGCTGGTAGAGCCCATATTGGAGGGGATCTGTCAAAGAAAGCGGAAGCACTAACTAGCGTCGCTCCTGGAAAGCCTCTAAAATCGCCTCCTGAACCGCTCTGGGAGGGCTCTTGGAGCGCTCTTGGGCGCTCTCTGCGCCGTCTTCGGGCTTTCTTGGGCCCTTCTTGGGGCTATCTTGAGCCATGTTGGAGCTATCTTGATGCCTCGGGTGGGCATCGGAAGCGAAAGCGCGAGAACGCCAAACACATTGATTTTCCCCAGGGTTTTGAAACATTTTGGCTCCTTGGGGGCATCCGAGGGGAGCTCTAATGGACACTTAGAGCCGTCTTGGGGCGGTCTTGGAGCGTCTTGGAGCATCTTCGGAACCATCTTGAGGCATCTTGCGCTATCTTGGACCATCTTGAAGGCGATCTTGGGCTCCCTGAGGCCCTCTTAGAATCGTCTTGGCTCATCTTGGACGCTCCAACGCGTCGCGCCCCCCCCTGTCCAGGTCAGTGGGGAGGGGGTGGGCGGAGGGGTAAACCCCTCCCCGAAGGGGAAGAAGGAGGGGTGGAAGAAGAAACGCTCTAAACCACCGACGCCCAGAGGGCTGGTGGGACTTCTTGGGAAGCTATTTTGGGAGGCTTGGGTTCCTCTTGGACCCGTCTGGGCGCCCTTGAAGGCCCTGTTGGGGCGCTCTTGGGGCAATCTTGGAGGACATCGGTCAAGGAAGTAGGGTTCCTTAATTAGAGCCCCCCCCCAGGAACTCCAAAACTCGTCTCCTGTACCGCTCTGGGACCGCTCTTGGAGCGCTCTTCGGCGCTCTTGGCGCCGTCATGGGGCTTTCTAGGGCCCTTCTTGGAGCTATCTTGAGCCATCTTGGAGCCATCTTGGAGCCATCTTGACGCCTCGGATGTGCATCGCAAGCGAAAAAGTGAGAACACCAGCAACATTGATTTTCCCTAAGGTTTTGAAGCATTTTGGCCTCTTGGATGCATCCTAATGATGCTCTTGTGGGCACTTGGAACCGTCTTGGAGAGTTCTTGGAGCGTCTTGGAACATCATGGGGACCATCTTGAGGCATCTTGCGCTATCTTGAGCCATCTTGGAGGGTATCTTGGGCTCCCTGAGGCCCTCTTGGAGCCGTCTTGGGCCATCTTGGGCGCTCCAACGCGCCGCGGAACCCCCTGTCCAGGTCAGTGGGGAGGGGGTAGGGGGAGGGGTAAACCCCTCCCCGAAGGGGAAGAGGGAGGGGTGGAAGAGGAAACTCGTTAAACCACCGACGCCCAGAGGGCTGGTGGGATTATCCACACACACACACCCCTCGCCCTCACCTCCCTCTTGACCGCCCGCGACTCGATCCAGCCCTCCCCTCCCCCTTTCACTGGGCTGGCGATCAGGCCACCCCCTCGGAGCAGGGTGAGTTGAGACAGCGGTAGCCCAAATCTGTCCCCGGACCGCTCCTGAGGTCCAAACGCACAAGTCTTCCAAGCTGCGTCCAGCCGTGGCGGCGAGGGGCTCCCCCCGAAGGCCAACCACCATGGTCTCAACTGGCCTTCCCCGGAGCTCAGACCCCTCCCCCTACCTGCGCGGGCCTGGAGGCAGCCAGCAGGCCCGAGGGAAAGGGAGGCCTCTTTCTCGCGCAGCTGGCGCCTCTTATTCTGCCGCACGCACGCGTCGAGGCAGGCGGCCCGGCCCAGCAGAGTCCCGAGAGGGACGAGGCGTCGGCCCGATGCTGCACAGCTGGATTATCGTGATCATCGCTCGTCGCCCTGACGTCGTGATGAAATAAACCGCGCGGGGTCCAGAATCACGACTGGAATTCTCGAGCTCTTCCTGAGGCGCATGTGATCGGAATGATCGGATCATGAACGCCCTGGGGCACGTGGAAACGGAGCCAAACACGCCTGTCGTGGATCTGTTGCAGCAGCTGCCTGTCTCTACTTTCTATGTTGACTCTTCCTGTTCTGTCGTCAACCTGCTCCCCTCCTCTTCCTACTCCCTCCTCGTCTCTGCCTGCCTTCGCCTCCTCCAGTCTCTTCCTCCTCAGCCTCCGCCTGCCGCTGCCGTCAGGGCGGAGAAGGAAAGGGACGCGGGGCACGGAGGACGAGCAGGAGGAGCAGGAACGTGGAGGTAGGGGGATGGCGGAGGAACACGCGGGGGGGAGAGAAAAGGAAGAGGGATGAGCAGGGCGAGGAAGGGAGGAGGATCGGGGACGAAGAAGAGAGGGAAGGACGGAGAATGAAGTAGCCGCCTGCACCTCCCACCAGCCTCCAGCCGTGCCGCTCACGGCGTCGGGCTGCCTGTCTGGCCGCAGCTATGGCATGTGGAGGCCTCGGGGCGTCGTTGGCCTCCCCCCCTGGACCCCTGGAGATCTCCGGGATCGACCTTCGAATGTGTTGGCTGCAGCGGCATCAGGGCCGGAGGAGGGGGGGGGGACGACCAGAGCTCCTGACCCCATCTCGGCGCCACTCGACGGACGCGCGCGGATCGACACGTGCATCGGATCGGACTGCCTCGGCACGGCGTCGGAACGGAATCGGATCGGCTGCATCGAGGTGCACAACAACGCCATATTGACATCGGGCAGCATCGCATGGTCGGAATATCGGCGTCGAATCGGACCAGTCCAGCCGAGCTCGGCATCGAATCATTCCAAATCGACCAGATCGCAACGAACCCTGCAATGCTCCAAACTCGGGGCGAAGACGCCCGTCGCGACCCTTATCACTACACCCTGGTCTGAGGGATTCCTCCCCGAATGCCCCCCCACCAATCCCTCTGTCCCCTCCTCCTCCTTCTCCTCCTCCTCCTCCTCCGCCTCCGCCTCCGCCTCCGCCTCCGCCTCCGCCTTTGCCTCCCCTCCCTCTCCTCCTCCTCCTCCTCCTCCTCCTCCTCCTCCTCCTCCTCTTCCTCCTCCTCCTCCTCCTCCTCCTCCTCCTCCTCCTCGTCCTCCCCCTCCTCCTCCCCCTCCCCCTCCTCCTCCCCCCCCCCTCCCCCTTCCCATCCCCCTCCTGCTCCTCGTCATCCTTCTTCTCCTCCTCCTCCTCCTCCTCCTCTTCCTCCTTTTCTTCCTCCTCCTCCTTCTCCTCCTCCTCTTCCTCCTCCTTTGAGTTGCCCATACCTGAGTCAGAGACTGTGGTGTTATTATTCTTCGTCCTCCTCCTCCTCCTGCTCCTCCCTCCTCCTCCTCCTCCTCGTCCTCCCTCCTCCTCCTCCCCCTCCCCCTCCTCCTCCCCCTCCCCCTCCCCCTTCCCATCCCCCTCCTGCTCCTCGTCATCCTTCTCCTCCTTCTCCTCCTCCTCCTCCTCCTCCTTTTCTTCCTCCTCCTCCTTCTCCTCCTCCTCTTCCTCCTCCTTTGAGTTGCCCATACCTGAGTCAGCGACTGTGGTGTTATTATTCTTCGTCCTCCTCCTCCTCCTCCTCCTCCTCCTCCTCCTCCTCTCCCCCTCCCTCCCTCCCTCCCTCCCTCCCTCCCTTCTTGTCCCCCCTCCATCACCAACGAGAATAGGACACTGACCCCCCCCCGCCCTCTCGGTGTACGGGCCCCCCTGGTACACTGAGGGGGGAGGGGGGGGCTAGATGTCACTTTTCGGTGGTTTCTGGAGGGGGCCGGGCGTGGAGGAGACGGGTCGGATCGGGACGGGCGTGGACAGGAGGGGCCCTCTCCCACCCCGTCCCTGCCCCCCTCTCTGGTCTTCGGTCCTCCTCCCCGCGCTCCCTCTGCGGCTGGTCCCAGCCCAGGCGACATGGCCGGGAGGCGATCGAGGTTCAGCGTGTCCCCGCGGTTGCGGCCGGTGTCAGAAGCCAGGGCTGGGTCGTCTCGGCAGGAGCCCGCTGTTCGTCGGAGCGGGCTCGGAGGTCGCGCGGGAGCCCTACGGGCGGGGGGCCTGGGGGGTCGACCCAGAGCACCGTCCCTTGCCGCTCATTCTGGCCGCTCTCAGAGGGCCACCGGTCCTCGTCCCAAGGGTCTCGCTGAGCCGCGGGGAGGTGCGCGGCCAGGTCTGGATGGTGCTCTGGCTCAGTCCCCCCCACCTTCCTGTCTTTCCTCCCCCCCACTCGCACTCCGCAGCCATCTATCCCAGGAGGCGTGCCTGCCGCCAGTTCCTTCGCCCCGTCCCCCAGTATCCAGCGCCGCCATGGCCGGGCCCCCTGCCAAGCGGGCCAAGTCCAAGGAGTGCGAGCCGGACCCCCAGGGGGGATGAAACCGGAGCGTATGCTCAACTCGCACAAACCAAGCGTCCGCGCCAGCCTGGCGGCAGCGGCGGACAGCGAGGCCAAGCACAACCCAGGCGGGCCCTGCAAAATGACCTTGTTCGAGCGGTCCGTAAAGCACTAGTGGGCACTCATGGACCCAGGGCAGCAGGCAGCCTGGCGAGCCGCGGCGGCCGCTGGCGGGCCCCCCCCCGGGCAGCCAACCCTCCCCTCTTCCCGCCAGCAGGAGGCCAGAGCTCGCACGCCCAGGCCGAAGGCACCGCGGAAGCGGGGAGCACCTCGCCATCCACTGGGGCCACTCCCCGAGACCAGCTCTTCGTCCTCGATGGCTCTCTGACAGCCCACAGGCCCCGGGCGGGCGAGAACGGCGCACGGCATCGGGGCCCCGGGGCGCCAGCGCGCCCTCACTCGGCCATCACCCACAGCGTGAGAGCCCAGCGTTCTTCCCTGGGCTCGCGTACGGCGTGCCAGACCTGGCGGAGCCGACGGCGGAGGGCAAGACGAGACGGGGGGCGACGAGAGCGAATCGTCATGCGAGGCGGGGATCGGGCCATGATCACCGCCTGGGGGATGGATCCCCAGGCGGTGATCATGGATGGATCCTCGCCTCGGCAGAGCAAGGCAAAAACCGACGCGATCCATGTACCAGTGTGACAGACGGCACTGGAGTGGATCTCGGATGCGCACGAAGCACATTCCAGCGGATACAGCTGGAAGGGTAGCCTTGTCTGTTCCAGGTAGCGGGGGTCAGCGGTGACGGGTGTCTGCCGATTCCTCTAATTCCCTCGGGGTGACCTAGGTTCGGGAGCCAGGTCGTCCTGATCGCGGAACATGTGCGCGAGCACATCGGCATGGACAGCCTGGTCGCGGAGATCTTCCACGGCCAGGTGGTCCCAGGCGACCTAATGACGCCCTGGTGGCGGATCATTTGCGTGATCGGGTGGTCCAAGCCGACGTGATCGTGGAACGACTTCGCGATCAGGCGATCCTGAACCACCTACTCGCGGAACCATTTCGTGACCAAGTGCTCCGCGAACACCTGCTCGAGGAAACACGTTGCTCCACGCGCTGGCCTTGGGGCAATTTGCCCCCCACTCGACAATCTCTGCTGTGTTGTCGGGTCTTCGCTTAAATCCGCAACGCTGCAAAAGGCAGGAGCGCGCTGGGGGGGAGCGCTTACCGTAGGGAACTTCGGTCGGAATGCCCCCCCCCAGGCGAACCAACCCTGTGGAACATCGACGGGGTTGACCTCCACTGTTCTCAATCACGTTCTGGCGGGATCGACAACAACAACTGTTGTTTACTATGCTTCTCGGAAGCGCGACCTTTACACCGTAATTAGTTGCACACTGCTAGTTGCAAACAATTTTTGATCGCCCGAACCACTCGCAGCGGAATGGTGTCTTGACGTAATTAGTTGTTCTCTGGGATCGTGGATGCGTAGTTCAAGTGGCGGGCAAGAAATGTGCCAAACGAACGGGGTCTTCCAAGAAGGCTCAAAAAAACCGAACCGAACCGGCCGAACCGAACCGGGCCGAACCGAACCGGCGCGAACCGCACTATTTATCAACAACAACCGAACCGAACCGGAACCGAACGAGACCCAATTTTGAACCGAATCGAACCAAACCAAATTCGATTCCGAACCGAACCAGATGGAACCGCCATGAACTGGAGGTCTCCAGGGCCCTGATTTTGCAAGTCTCGAGGCCGTTCGGCCCTGAGGCCCCCCAAGGCCCCGATTCTGCAAGTCCCCCGAGGCCCCCCCGGGCTCCAATTTTGCAACTCCCCAGAAGCCCCCTGGGGTTTCGATTCTGCAAATCCCCGAAGGCCCCCCGGGGACTTGCAAAAAGGCGTCCGGGACTTGCAGAATCAAGCCCCCGGGGGGCCTCCAGGACTTGCAAAATTGCTTCTGGGACTTGCAAATTGGCCTCCAAGACATGGCATTCGGGACTTTTAAAGGCCTCCATGACTTTCAAAACTCCAAGACTTGCAAAATGCATCCGGGATTTCCAAAATACTTGCAACATCGCGTCCCGGAACTGCAGAATCGATTCCAGCATTTGCAGAAACGCGTCCGGGACTTGCAAGATGCCATCAGGGACTTGCAAAATCGCCCCTGGGACTTGCAACATGGCGCCAGGGACTTGCAACGACGCCTTGACTCGCCTCCAAGACTGCTCCGTGGCGAACGCCCCTTCTAGCGAGCCGGGCAGAACCGGAGCGAAACGCATGGCGAACTGGGCCGAACCGGACCGAACCGAACCGAACTTCGGTTAACCGAACCGAGCCGAACCGGACGCATTACTTCGGAACCCAACTGGACCGAACCGAGCCAGGCACTTCATGTGGTTCACCCAACAGCAGCACGGGATGGAAGGGAGGGCGAAGGGAGGGAGGGGATGTTTTGGAGGGCGATAAAGGGCGGGGGCTGTGAGAGGAAAGGGGGAGGAGCAAGAGCAGAATAAACAAAAAGAGCCTGTATGTTCCTCTTCTGGACTTTGGTCGCCTCACTGATGATATTTGAGAAAACGTGACTCACCGCCGCTTTACTGTGGAAAATTCACCCCCATCTTCCTCTGGAGCCCAAGGATCCACTCTTCCCCCCGACTTCCGAACCCCCCCCATGCTGGACCCCCCCCTCCCCCCGGCAAAACACCACCCTCCCCTAACCCCCCCGCCAGAAAACCAGGGGAAGGTCACTACCGGTTCGAATCCCCCCCCTCCGGGCCCTCGGAAAGACGGGGGGGGTCACTACCGGTTCGAACCCCCCCCCCAGAAAACCAAAGGAAGGTCACTACCGGTTCGAACCCCCCCACCCTCCTTCAGAAAACGGGGGGGGGGTCACTACCAGCTCGAAGCCCCTCTTTCCCCTCGAAAACCAGGTGGGGTCACTACCGGTTCGAGCCCCGCCCCCCTCCTCCTCGAAAGCCGGGGGGGGACACTACCGGTTCGAACCCCTCCCCCCCCCTCGCCGCCAGCAAACGACTCCCGGTCCCTACCACCGTCCGCACCACATCCCCCACTGCTGTTCCCAGCGCCGATGTCCTCACCACCACTGTCCCCGCTGGTTCCACCACCGTCCCTACTGTCCCCGCCAGTGCTCCCACCACTGTCGCACTGTCCCACCTGTTCCCACCATTGCGCCCACCACGGTTCCACTCTCCCCACTTTCTCCAAGGCCCCAACCACTGCCCGACTTTCCCCGCTGTCCTCACTGTCCCACTGCCCCCCCCGCTGTCCCACTGTGTTGTCCCACTGTACCCACCACTGTCCCCACTGTCCTCATTGCACCTTTATCCCATTGTCCCACCGCCGTCCTGGCTACCGCCCTCAGCAATGTCCTCACGACCACTGTACCCTCCACTGTCCCACCGTTTCCACCACATTCCCACTGTCCCCGCACCACTGCCCCCACCACCACCGCCCCCACCACTGTCCCCACTGTTCCCACCATTGCCCCCGCTGTCCCCACCACTGGCCCCGCCAGTGTGTCAATGTCCCCACTCTCCCCACCGTTGCGGTCCCACTCTCCGCACTTTCCATCGTTTGCCTGGATATTCATTATCCCTGCGAGATGTCCCGATCATATATCATGGTCAGTGGGCTCCGCCGATGACCTGCAGAAGGAAGGATAATGCCGTCAAACGTACACTAAGGTAGCGCTGAAAGGAGGAGGCCGGCCCGCCGGCCGACGCACACGCGCGCGCCACAGGCTCGCTCCTTTTCCGTTTCCCTAAAACTACAGTGGTATAGCAGCGAAATCAGAAGCAGTCAGCTCAGCGGGCAGTGAGCGCAAGGCAAAGGAGCAGAAAAGGCGAAAGGATGGTGGTGCGGAAGGGGTGCCCAGGACTGGATTCTGTCATAACCAATCCAGCCAGCATTGGCGCCCGACGCGGCTGGGCCGGCGGGCGCCGGAGCATAGGGGGCGTTCCTATAGGACTGCCTTCCTTTCCGGTACCTCGGTCTCGATTCTGGGCGAGGACATCGCTGAGTTCGCTGTCCTGGAGCGGCGGTGCCGCCCGGGGTATTTTCTTCAACGATTGTGGTCGCAGCATCTGCTGGAGACACAGCTGGGATTTTCTGTGGGAGAGTCGGCTGGGCCGCTCTCCCCCTTTTCCTTCTCGAGGCAATTTGTAATTCCAATGGCGTCGCCAGCAATGAAGACTCCACAACGGCTGTTGGCAAGACATATATTGACACTAAAATGAGATTCCGTAGACGTACGCATGAAACCATAGCTTCTCGGCTGCCTGATCAATCCCAATTCCGTCTTGAGGTCTCTGATACTTCATTTCCGCATCCATTGGTCCGTTCATGAAGTGGGGCAAATGATTCGACCGCGGACCGAATCCGAAAATCCAAAGCATAATCATCATGTATCATGCATAACTTCAAGAGCTGCAGTCGCATTGTTCGGATCACGCTGCACCTCGCACCCCGGAAATGAACATTGATTCCCGCAGACACGAACAATAATCTTACTTTTCGTACAGTTAACAGAATCCACCCCCCATCTTCCGTGAGTGGGGGCTCGATCAAATGGCTGGTTCCATGTTTTGTCCACGAGCTCGGACAATCCCGGTGGTGCATCATGAATGATGTCTTTGTCCGATGGCATCGTAGTTGGAACTGTCGATACATATTCCAGAATGAATTGCGTTGCAACTCTGATAATTCCGGACCTATCGCATGGGTCAGCATTGTACTCATGGCTAGACATACAGCCAAACATAAATACATCAAACCAAAAAGGCAGCGTTCTCGCTGGAACAATCAGCTGATGACGCTGGGTTATATGTTGATTACAAATGCCGTCCGACGTCGCAGCCGTCTCTTCACGCGCTGATAGTACTTCATCAATGCGGCTGGGTCGATGATGAAGTTCAGCAACAGACCGGAAATCGATGTCTCCCTCTTGGTTCGACGCAGAAGCTCGGTTGGCTTCATTCAAGTTTGCCATTAATGCTTGAACGGATGGAAATATTATTCCTTTTTTTCCGCCATCTCTTGTTCGCATTGGTCCCAGCCTGTCTCTGGGCGAATGTGCTCGGTAATGCCGCGTTCCCAATACGATGTGTATATTTATACATATATATATATAAACAAACAGCAAGCGCAGAGCATCTCACTGGACGAGCGTATTGGTCCAGATCTGGCGTTCAGATTAATGGCCACCACTGGGCAGCGGTCGGGGCATTTTCCCCATGCTTGAACTTCAGCCATTCAATGCATCGGAGCTTGAGTGGTTCTAGATACTGGATATACGGCTCGTGACGCGCAGGCGGCCGCGCCGAGGCGCTGTCGGGCCCCCGGGAAGGGGCGGTCCCTAGGTGCGAAATTATAAAGGCACAACCTGCCAAAGCAGCCCGGGAACGTATCTGTGAGTTGCTAACCCACTTGCGCTGGCGCTGTTCAGCTTTGCTCAAATTCTCCAGCGCGTCACAAGAACTCTTGCGATTGATTTCAGCCT